ATATTTATTTGTATTATGGAAATAATGTTTATGTCAACAAACTTATGTTCGATATTTGTATCAATTTGTAAAAATAACCCTTGTATAATGATAATATTAAATTTAAAGGTTTTAAATAAGGACTTGCAGATATCACAATTCGAAATTCTTTTTATTGGCCATAATACTTTTTTTGGAATGAAAGCATTAGTTTCTGTTTTTCAGTTAAGCTCCATGAATTCATATTTTAATCTGAACGCTACTTAAGCGCAGTAAAGTTGCAACAACTAAACAATATGGTGAACTTTTCGAAAATTTCTAAGTTAAAATGAAAATCAATTTATATTTAAAATTAAATAAGTTAACTAACATTTTTGACCGTTATGAAGTTAATAAAGTTATAAATAACGTCGTTACAAAGATTTATGTTTGAATTTTAAATTTCTATTGATGATAGTTACTCATCTACGTATTACAATAACAATACCTACATGACTTGGCTTTGACACAAAACCCTGTATAGTAAAACTTCTAATCCGAATCAAAATCTTGAAACTATTATTTGGGGGCTTAAAAGCGTGGTCCACTAGTTGGTGTAGCCTTTTAAAACATTTGGTATAATAATAATAATAATAATAATTATATATCATCAATTACCACTGCCATTGGTAAAATCCTAAATTTAAAATAGTGTATTATAATAATAAGACATTAATCATATCTTAAATGGATCGCCTACTACCATGTTTTAGAAATAAATAAAATGTGATTCTTAAATTAATAAACATTAAACAAAATTTCTCACGAATTATTTATTATTCTGTCCCGTACTTCCATGTCTCTATTGCTTCGCTGTCAACAATTTCCGGCAACATATTGCATATAAAAATTTTTAATTTTATTTTGTATCTTTTCTTCTGAAAAGCTGCCAATATGAGATATTTTCTCCACTTTTATTCCTCCAGAAGTCCAAAAGCACAAAATGCAAAAATCCATTTGTGTTATGTGCAGCTAGCCCTGAATTTGAAAATACCAATAGTGGTTCTCCTTAATGGAATTGTTCTTTTTCTAAAAAGTTATTTCTCTACTGCATATTTCTTCTGCTACAGTTAGAACTTCAGCTCCATATGGACATTTTAACTCTATCATAGAGTTTTTTTTTTTTTTTTTAATTCCATCCAGACTGGCAGCAACATAATCAAATTCGAATTCAATAAAATATCCACATTTAAAAACTTTTACTTGCAAATAAATTTCCAAATCTTATTTTGCTCTGAATTTATGGTCCATGCCATATCGGGAGGCTTTAGAAATAAATAAAAGATTTTAGGAGATTTTTTACAAATTTCTCCAAATTTTAAAGCAGTTACTCGTTTCCGTCTTTTATTGTGCACAATCAGCTTGTCACAATCGTTTTTCTCTCATTTATAGACATTGGCTAACCTTTTAGAAAATTTTCTCTTGCAACGCGCCTCAAAGGGTGCGACAGATCAAAGCCATGCGCGAAAGCAAGAAAAAATATTTATATTTAACGGATTGAAGAAATATTAACATGCTGGAATTAATAATTATTGTTGACTCGAAGAAGTATTCATTAAACAAAAACATATAATTCACATCTCAGTGTATACCTTCCAATTTCGAATATATATTTTTTTAATAAATAAATGATAAAATTAATTTAATATAATTGAGCGAAATTACTGTATGTAAAAAATAACAACATGAATTCAAATCACTTACTACTGTTTATCACTAAAGAGTAGAAAAAGATATATATTTTGTTGGTATCATCTTCTAGACGAAAAAGCTTTTAACGTATTTCTATTTTTATTGTAATAAAAATAAATGCTCCTGAAGGCAAAAATTAAATATATTGTTCTCTTCTAGCATTTTTTAACATTTCTATTTCTTTTCTTAGATTTTTTCAAAAGAGACTGATTCATATTTTTAAAGTAAATCCGGAGAGGTATGAGTTAATCCTTTACCTGTACTTACATAAAATTTCTTTTAGTAAAATTAAAAAATAATCCGTAAAATTGGTGTACTATGAAACCCTTACATATAATATATATGCCAATCTTAGTATTATAGAAATAAAATTACGTAAAAAATAAGGTGTACAAATACGTAAAATGTATTCATCCCTCGTAAAACATCAGTAAAATATATTATAAATTGTTTTCATTCATAAATATTAATTTCTTAAAAATCTAACAGAGGCGCCACTTTCCAGACGAAAAATCTTGCAAGGGTTTCGTAGTACTTCACTTTTAAAGTTTATTTTTGACTATTTTTGTGTAGGTAAAGGTTAAATCTATGCTCTTCTGGAACCACTTTTTCAAAATTCAATTTAGTTTTTTCTAATAAAAATTGAGAAAATGGGTAAAAAAAGTCGACTTTTGTATTTTTTTTTTAGAAAAAAACAGTTTCAAATTTTAAAAAAGTGTTTCAAGAGGAGCATAGATTTATCCTTTACCTACACGTACATATTTTTTTCTTTCAGAATAAGTCAAACATAAACTTTAAAAGTGGGGTACTACGAAACCCTTGCATGCTCCGCTCTACAGCCAAGTAAATACTCCTCTTAAACAGATATTTTCCAATATTTCGTATTTGTAAATAGGGCATTTGATTTAATACAGCTTACTTACATAAGGAGTTTATTATATTATATGTTAACAAAAAGAAAACGTATCTCAAGAGCTAGAAACTATGTTATTGTGTATTATTAGAGAAGGTTGTCTTATTCTTCCACTTTCTTTTCTTTAAAATATGCAATTCCACAATTTAATTTGAGTTCTATATCGTTTATTATGCTCCTTAGTAGACCTCTACCCAAACAAAATAAGCCAAATTAAAAATTGATTGATAACTAGAAAACTAACCTAAAGACAACTGTCATACCATGATTTTTAACGAGTGGCTAGCCACGGCGAATGGGAAAACATACCCCAAGACAGCTGTACTCAACCTTTTTTTTCTTTTGGGCCACTTAAATATGTTTGTTATGCTACACGGGCCACAATATTTTTGGGTGATAACTAGAGTTGCCACCTTTTTGAAATGTAAATAAAGGACAATTGGTGACGATAGGGATCCTCTTTAAAAATTTTCCTCATATTGTTTTAGTTTAAATATTTTCTAAAAAAAGGATTCTCAGGTTGTTTTAGTTGTTTAAGCTCTGGACAATTTATTTCAAAAAAGGACTGTAGGTCAACCATTTAAAGTCCTAATAATAGTGTTTGGGGCTGCACAAAAAAGCTTGGAGGGCCCCACAAAACAGCTTGGAGGGCCGCAGGTTTCGTATGGCTGCCCCAAGACAATGTTGACAATTTAATAAAAAGTATGCCAAGGCAAATAGAAGCTTGCATAAGGGCACGAATTGTTAATATTACCAATTTTTTTGTTTTTGCTTTTCGGCTATTAAAAATTTTAATCTCATTTCGTTTCAGAAACCAAAAAAATACCATTGTGTTTATTTTGTCAACTAATTAATTATTTTTATTGCCATGTGGGTTACTTGTCATTAAAATTCTTTAAATTAAAATTCATAAACAAAAAATGTTCATATATGTCAAAAATTATGAAAAATAATAGATGATTCCATCTTAAGTTTGGTTGTGTGTATGTCATCTAAATTAATTCAATCCGCAAAAACTAAATATTACAAAAATATATTTTAAATTTACTGTCACTTTACAGTATATCATGTCACTATAATAAAATTAACAATCTCAGTGAAGTAGTACACAAACGTCACATCACCTGCATTGGCCAATACAAGTGAAAAAGTAAACATTTTAAAAGCGATTAATTTATTTAAATTAGTGACCACCAAGATTTTTTTTAATTTTTAAGCTTCCAATGATATATAATTCCACATAAACAAAAAATTTTAGTAATGCGCAGATTCACTCTAAAACTGCATTTTTACCGAACCGATAGATTAGTATAGATGAAATGGTATTGATCTGAATACTAGCAATAGCAAAATGTTTTTCAACAATTTTACTGGAACAAAAGATCTTGGTGCCAATTATTATATTTAGATTAGGTATGACCATCAACTCTTGTATAGTTTAACCTATAAGTCTCTCTCAAAATGATATATTTCAATGTAAGATACTACTTTTTCATTGTAATATACCTATTTGTTTGTGGTCACCTCATATGCCACGTTTGAGAATCCACATCGGATTCATCTGAGATGTAGTAAATCTTTGATCACATGATTCAGTACATGTAAATGGGACAGATGTGTCCGATGTGGATAAAAAAACGCTCAAGATGTAAAAAATGCATCCGATGTGGATTTTCAAATGCGGCAATAGTATGTACATACATGAATACCATTTCAATTTTTATATTAGAGAGATATTGCAAATTTCTATAACGTCAGCCACTAATAATGACAACATAATTAGAGACAAGTAAATTCTATGCTAAAATAATACTTATTGAAGACCTGACGTTTTGACATTAAGGTCCCTATTTATAAACAGAATTCAGCTGAGTCATCATTGAATGAAAATCGAAGTTCGGTTATATTGGGTGAATTTAGAGATGGGTAGTAACAAATCCGTAAATGTACTTAAAAGTTACATATTTGCTAATATCCATCTCTAAATTCCAGTGTAACACCGGAACCACTTGGAACTTTAAAGACGTTATAACCAAACTTTGATTTTAGTTCAAGGAAGACTTACCCAAGTCCAGACTCAGCTGACTGTTTATAAATATGGACCTAAGAGTCCTTGTCCTTATACATTTTCTAACCTCATTTTAAAGTACAGTTCATCTTTTTCATCATAATATGGAATAGCATTAGAAATTACCATTTTAAAAGGCTTAGATTATTATATAAAATATGCTCAGACGCTAACAGTGTCTGACCTTAAACGAACTTACAATATCTCACTAATATCTATACTTATATTTGTTTCAAAACAATTGAATTTCATAAAGAATATATTTTAAAAACCGTTCATCTTAGGATATGGATTTTTTAATATACTAACCTATGCCTCTTTCTACACAACAATCATGTTCTATTGTGCCACCCTGAAGTAATCCAGGTAGAAAATATAAAGAAGTTCCAGTTTCATTTAATTCTATAGATGTACCATTAGTCACTTTATCAAACAATCTTATTAAATTAACTTCAAATTCCTTGAGTCCTGGTTCATCTTCAAGTGTTCTAATTTCCGATATTTCAATAGGTTTACCACTTAGAACTGAAAGAATTAGTCTCTGTCTTAGATAATTACTACCTTTATACATCAAAGTATTTCCTCTCCTGGCAGGCATAATTTAAAACTATTTATACCAGTATACCAAAAGTACTTTTGGAGTAAAACATCAGGAATTCAAAATAGTGTACAACCACGACGTTAAAAAGATAGGTTAATGTTTCGAATTTGGTCTTCTTCGTTCTTTTTTTAGACTACTGGTCTCATGTATATATACATTCAGCAAATTACAGAGAAATGTCATTATTTATGGCTATATCAAGCTAGCGGCACATACTGGGACCACAAAGCACATAGAGTAATAATCTTTCCTCCATGACATAGAGGTTCCACGTGAATGACCAAGGCACATACTTTGATTTTCTTTTACTATACGGAGAATGGTAGCACTGCGCAGCTGAGTGCCTTTTAAAAGGAGATAGAAAACTCCGCCTTTTTAATCCTTTATTACGTGTTGCCTACATCTTGGCGCAATATTTTTAATAGGTTCGTTTTAGGGCCCTATTCAGTAATTTATCGTTTATGGACGACATCGTTAAGCTAACGACAGTTCAACCAACGACTTTTATAACGATAATTTTTGAAACTCTATTCAATAACAAAGTCGTTACGTTGTTTCTAGTTACCAAATCTGAACGATGATTTCTAGTAAGTTGGTATTATAATTTAGTGTTTTGTGATAAAAGAACGTATGTTGATGATTATAGCGGGCGTTTAAATTAAAGTTTTACAGTTAAATATCACCAAAAATATGCATTTTATAAAAAAAAGCATCAGACAAAAGTTTTATAGTTTTTTAGGGGAAACATTTTGGCTAAATTATTTTTTTTATAGCTGACCATAATATGGCCATATCGAGGTGGATTTTTTTTCAAATTGGAACCCTATTTTTTTACATAGGTATTCTTAGAGTTCATAAAAAAAACAAGAAACTTCTAAAGGAAACATTTTTTTATTGGATTTCTACTTATTGAGTAACATCTACTTGAAAATTTTGCTGAGCGAAAAAAAGTTGGCCATATTATGGTTTGCTATAAAAAAAACAATTTTAGCTAAAATGTTTTACCCAAAAAATTATTAAACTTTGATTTTTTTTAAAAGGCGGTATTTAACTGTAACCCTTTAATTTGAACACCCGGTATATTTGACATTTTTTTTGAACGTAAAATAAAAATTCTACCACACGATCAAAGGGGTCGATTCTCGACTCGTAGGAATTTTTTCCTATAGGAATTTTTGACATTTTTATATACATCGAAAATTTATGACAGTTTCCTACATATAGGAAAGTGTCACAAATTCCTATAGGAAAAGGTTCCTACAAGTCGAGAATCGACCCCCTGGGTCGATTCGTAGGAATTCTGTTTCTCGCGGGCCATTTTTGCTGGTCATATTGTATGTAGGGTTTATTTAAATGAGTATGGATATATTAAAAAAAACAAAAAACAACTCGAGAACAGTACAAGTTGTATTTATTGGATTTGAAAAACAAACCAAATTTGTGTAGGTTACGCACTGAACTCTATACTGTTACACAGTTCAGTGAGGTTACGGAGAAGTATTATAGGTACTTCCATAATATAGGTTTTGTTACAGTTTCGCAGTGCTACTTTAGGAACATCACTGTTAATAAGAATCCAATAGTAAATGATTGAATGGGCAATCCTAACTTTGAATCAGATTTATTTTTAAAATAATTAAATAAATTAGAAAAAAATTCCTTACAAATGTTACTTGCTGTATTAGGTATATGACAATTTAGTTGTAAAATTTGTAAAAAAGTGTTTTTATTATTTAGAACATATCCTGATTCACAATAAAAAATGAGAGGGAATGCAAAAATCACTATAACGACACTTCATATTATTAACGACAGCTCTTTGGCTATCGTTGATGAACGACAATTTTACAACCATGTTTGTCTATTTTCAACGACAATCGTTGTCTACTGAATAAGAAAAGTCGTCTGTGAACGATTATCGTCTATTAACGACGTCGTTCAGAGTTACTGAATAGGCCCCTAGGAATACCTATGTAAAAAAATAGGGTTCCAATTTGAAAAAAAATCCACCTCGATATGGCCATATTATGGTCAGCTATAAAAAAAATAATTTAGCCAAAATGTTTCCCCTAAAAAACTATAAAACTTTTGTCTGATGCTTTTTTTTATAAAATGCATATTTTTGGCGATATTTAACTGTAAAACTTTAATTTAAACGCCCGCTATAATTATCAACATACGTTCTTTTATCACAAAACACTAAATTATAATACCAACTTACTAGAAATCATCGTTCAGATTTGGTAACTAGAAACAACGTAACGACTTTGTTATTGAATAGAGTTTCAAAAATTATCGTTATAAAAGTCGTTGGTTGAACTGTCGTTAGCTTAACGATGTCGTCCATAAACGATAAATTACTGAATAGGGCCCTTAGGGGCCTATTCAGTAACTCTGAACGACGTCGTTAATAGACGATAATCGTTCACAGACGACTTTTCTTATTCAGTAGGCAACGATTGTCGTTGAAAATAGACAAACATGGTTGTAAAATTGTCGTTCATCAACGATAGCCAAAGAGCTGTCGTTAATAATATGAAGTGTCGTTATAGTGATTTTTGCATTCCCTCTCATTTTTTATTGTGAATCAGGATATGTTCTAAATAATAAAAACACTTTTTTACAAATTTTACAACTAAATTGCCATATACCTAATACAGCAAGTAAAATTTGTAAGGAATTTTTTTCTAATTTATTTAATTATTTTAAAAATAAATCTGATTCAAAGTTAGGATTGCCCATTCAATCATTTACTATTGGATTCTTATTAACAGTGATTTTCCTAAAGTAGCACTGCGAAACTGTAACAAAACCTATATTATGGAAGTACCTATAATACTTCTCCGTAACCTACACAAATTTGGTTTGTTTTTCAAATCCAATAAATACAACTTGTACTGTTCTCGAGTTGTTTTTTGTTTTTTTTTTAATATATCCATACTCATTTAAATAAACCCTACATACAATATGACCAGCAAAAATGGCCCGCGAGAAACAGAATTCCTACGAATCGAGAATCGACCCCCTGATCGTGTGGTAGAATTTTTATTTTACGTAACGAAAAAAAGTCAAATATACCGGGTGTTCAAATTAAAGGGTTACAGTTAAATACCGCCTTTTATAAAAAAATCAAAGTTTAATAATTTTTTGGGTAAAACATTTTAGCTAAAATTGTTTTTTTATAGCAAACCATAATATGGCCAACTTTTTTTCGCGCAGCAAAATTTTCAAGTAGATGTTACTCAATAAGTAGAAATCCAATAAAAAAATGTTTCCATTAGAAGTTTCTTGTTTTTTTATGAACTCTAAGAATACCTATGTAAAAAAATAGGGTTCCAATTTGAAAAAAAATCCACCTCGATATGGCCATATTATGGTCAGCTATAAAAAAATAATTTAGCCAAAATGTTTCCCCTAAAAAACTATAAAACTTTTGTCTGATGCTTTTTTTTTTATAAAATGCATATTTTTGGCGATATTTAACTGTAAAACTTTAATTTAAACGCCCGCTATAATCATCAACATACGTTCTTTTATCACAAAACACTAAATTATAATACCAACTTACTAGAAATCATCGTTCAGATTTGGTAACCAGAAACAACGTAACGACTTTGTTATTGAATAGAGTTTCAAAAATTATCGTTATAAAAGTCGTTGGTTGAACTGTCGTTAGCTTAACGATGTCGTCCATAAACGATAAATTACTGAATAGGGCCCTAAGAATGGTCGCACCGCGCAGCTTTCTGAGTGCCTTTTAAAAGGAGATAGAAAACTCCGCCATTTTGAACCCTTATTACGTGTTGCCTACATCTTGGCGCAATATTTTTAATAGGTGCGTTTTAATCATCCACTTCTGCTTCGGAATTGTCGGTTTTCTTATTTTAATCTGACAGGTTAAAACGACTAAACCGACAATTCCGGAAGCAGTAGCGGATGATTAAAACGCACCTGATATTTTGCTTGCTGCTGTCATTAGTCGCTTTCTTTTTACCACTAATCTGAGCTAACTTAGATCGTCTAGGCTTAGTTGTACGTTCTTTTTGTGATTGTAAGCAGAGACAATCCAGCGAGACGTGTAACTCAATGTATTTTTTTTGTTCGGTAAAACTTATTTGGGCGATTGTAACCACAACCAGTCTATTGCTGCGTTTGAGAATCCACATCGGATGCATCTGAGATGTAAAAAATCTTTGATCACGTGGTTCAGTATACGTAAATGTAATGGGACAGATGTGTCCGATGTGGATAAAAAAACGCTCGAGATGTAAAAAATGCATCCGATGTGGATTCTCAAACGCAGCATAGGATGGCGCCACTAGTAAATAGCGGGAAAATTAAAAATGCTTTAGGGCGGGAAATTCAAACATGGTTCAGAAATCGTTTTTGTATACAACAAATTTACAAGAGAAACAAAAACTGTTTCACTGTTTATTAAAAAATATAAAAGCTTCCAATATCATCAAATTTTTTATCATATAAATAATCATTTTAATAAAGGAAGTTTTAATCAGTTTAATATAAGCAGTGAACATAGTTTTTATTACTCTTGTAAATTTCGCTAAAAAAACTTGAAAATTCTATTGATTATTAAATATTTAAACTTGGAAAAATAATACACCAAACTCTTTTTCTATAAATTATATTTTTTTAAGGTACAGAAAAACAAACTACAATTGCTATGTTTAGAAAGTACCTCTTATCATTTTGTGACAAATTACAAAGAAAGTAACAGTTGTTATATATTCATAATATATTTAAAAACTAATGTAACAAATATTTTATAAAGCATAGAGTATATCGATACCTTTTTGCCAGACTATCATAAGTGCCATTTGAACAAATGTCGCTTATGTTAGTCTGGCAAAAAGGTATCGATATGTTATGACTGTTTATTTTAATAGAAACCATGGAAATGAAACAAACACACGTACACTCAACACAAATGTATAAGGCCTGAGTCGAGTTCCCATCCTGTAAACTGGATCGAAACCTGCTAGACCCATTCCGTACACCCCCTGCTAACTCTTCTTAGGGTAATCAAGATCAATAGATTTATACGTCATGCCTTCTAAAATGGAATGAAGGATGACATACTATCATTTAAACAGGACGTTGCTGAAGGCTTACCCCTGTTATTTTGTTTGTGTATCTTGTGTGTGTGCATTCCTGTTGTGTCCCCAGTCATGTAGAAGTTTTCCTAGTCTCCTAATTTGGTTACTAGGTGGACCTTCTCCAACTAGTAGTCTAATCTATTTCGATCTGTTCTGCAGCAGGAGGTACTTTTCAAACATAGCAAATAATATTATTAATAATAAACACTATTTAAAGATAAATACATTTTGGCAATTTTTTTGTCATTGCCCCTTACCTTTCTCTTACAC